CTGCAACAACTGTGACTGCAACAACAACAACAATAAGTACAACGGCAACGGCAAACAGCTGGCAATCATAAAGAGTAGAAATCGCTGAAGCGACATGCCTGTTTTTTAGCTGTCGCTGATGTTGTTGTTGTTGTTCTTACAGTTGCTTAGAGCACCTAACATGCGACAAGTGCACTTAATTAGTAGGGATCAGAAGGCAAAGCGAAGTGCAGGGTATGGGGGCATCTGGAACATGACCAGTGTTCCGGCAGGTAACAAGTCTAATGCTAAATTGCCCCCAGCACACTTTTTTATTTATCTTTTCGTTTTTTGTTTCTTTTTTGGCAGCAGCACAGACCCGAAGATGTGGCCCAAACAGCGTTGGCTAGTCAATAGAGCAACTGCAGCGATACCAGAGAGCAGCAGACACCAAATAGTAGCAGTATTAGTAGCCTTTATCTTAGTCAATTTCCTAGCCTCAGCGACGGCGGCGCTTATCACACCACCGGACAGTGGCAGCGGGAGCGTTAGCAGCAGCAGCAGCAGCAATAGCAACAGTTTTGATTACGATTCCACAGATGAGGATGACAGCACATCCTTGCCCAGCTTCTATCGCAGTCCACATCGCCTGGATGGCTACTATACGCCCGCGGATCTGCAGCGCAGCCACAATTTTAAGATAAGCCCCAAGCCGTGCTCCTTTGGCCGCATCGAGGGCACCTGCATGTTCGTTTGGGAGTGCATCAAGTCCGAGGGCCAGCACGTGGGCATGTGCGTTGACTCGTTCATGTTTGGCTCATGCTGTGCGCACAACTACACCGAAAACATTGTGCTGCCCCACACGGGCTTCTCATACACGCGACCCACCAAGCCTCTGTCGCTGAGGCCGCGGCCGCCACCACAGCCACACAAGCCGCTAATCAGGTGGGTAAACAAAGGCGGCTCTAACCCATTTCTTTTGAAATTGATATTACTATTGATATAAGAATTTTCCAAAATAATTTCCCCGTAAACAACTCTTTTTTTGTTTGGAAAATTTTTATTAAAAATGAAAAAATCAAATTCTTTCTACAAATTATATTAAATTATTGGATTTACAATTTACATATAAATTTAAGTGTTAGCTATTATAAATATTACCTTCTTAAATTTAATAACTAAATTTCGGCTTGCAAAATGAATTTAAGTCTTCGTAATTAAAAAATTTTTAAATCTCTATCAAATATTTGTTTATTTTATTTTATGCAGTGGTATGACCACTATTGAACGTCCACATGGCGCTGGCACACTGGTCATTCGCCCTTCCGGTCCGGTACATCAGGGCACCTTATCCAGGCCACATCCGAAGCCAACGACACCGCCCGACTTGCAGAGTGCAGCCAGCCAGGCGACGAGCAGTTCGAGTGAGTATAGAGTGTGGCGCCTGTTGCATTGTTATGAGAGCAGACTTATGGACTCACAAACAACAACTAACAATTACACCAACAGATAGTATTTGGCATACATCAACGCACCAGCAGACGCCGCCGCAGCAGCAGCCACAGCACCACCACTGGCATATGACCACCGAGCCAAGCTTTATTACCAGGCCGAGACCCACCGGCTGGACCAAGCCCGGCATAGTCAATTTGCCAGCAACCATGCGTCCCTCCAAGCCGGCAAAGCCCACAAAGAAGCCGATTGTCTACGAGCGGCCGCCAACGCCGCTGCCAACGACAACGACAACGACGACGACAATGATGCAGGCGAGACCGAAACCCAAACCCAAACCCATACCGACCAGGCCCCAGGTATGTAAATACGCGTCTTCATCTCTCTGCCTGCTTGCCACAATTCCTCATCCTGTGCCACACGCTCTGTGTGTGTGTGATGCATTGATGTCGAAAGCGAAACAAACGAGCGACGAGGTCATTTACTCCTCGATCAGGCTCGGCTACTCAGATGCTCTGATGCTCTGACTGAGGCCACAGCCTTGGGGGACATTTTATTGTTTGCACAAAGCCAGAGCCAAAGCTGATGTAAGATTTGTCTTGCGATGATGCTGACGTAGTCAAGAGGTTCGTCTCTGGGGTGCGTTGTTCTGCACTTGCTGGCCAGGATTAGAGTATCAGAAAACTGTTTAGTAAACGTATTCAATTGAAATCTTTTCCAAGTTTTGTTAAATATATATATATAGATATGTATTTATAAAAAATATATATGTATAAAATATTTAACTTATGAATATATTAGAAAAGAATATAAAAATATTTTTATATTTGAAAAAAAAATCCCACCGAAAATGTAGGAAAAAAATATATATATACATTTAATAGGTTGTTAAGTACAATATATATATTAATGGGTAAGGGCATACAGACGTAGGCTTGAATAAAGACATTTCATTTGGCCTCCGCAGAGATTTAGCAGTGGAATGAAAAATTGATTCTTTGCATGTGAAATATGTTGAGCTCCTTGGGTAACTATTAGCATAATGTTTACCACTTTTGGCTACCTTCCAGCTGTTGCCGGGCACATCATTAGCCGCGTCCTCCTCATCAACATCAGCCGCAACAACAACAACAACGACAAAGGGCACGACAGCAGCAACAACAACAACTACAACAACAAAAGCAACTACCCGCACCACAACAACAACCACTAGGAAACCAACTAAGCCCTACCAGCGACCCACCACAACAGGCACTACAACTTCTACTTCCACATCCACAACAGCTGGAGCAGCTACTGCAGCATCAACCTACAGACCACGTCCGAGTCCAACATCTCAGCAGCCCACGGCTGGCATTGAATCCAATGAGATAACGGACTCCTCCACAGATGAGGCCGGCATGCTTGGCCATGTGAAGACCATTTCGGCGGCACGCAGCGGTAAGTCCAAGTACAGCCACGCCTAATGTGTTTGACACAATCCAATTGTACATAAATATATATATATTCATATGTGTATATGCATATATGTGTTCAGAGTGCGGAGTGCCGATGCTGACGCGTCCAGAGACTCGGATTGTGGGCGGCAAGAGCGCGGCATTCGGTCGTTGGCCCTGGCAGGTGTCTGTGCGACGCACCTCGTTCTTTGGCTTCTCTAGCACACATCGCTGCGGTGGCGCTTTGATCAACGAGAACTGGATAGCCACGGCGGGGCACTGTGTAGACGAGTGAGTACCAACTACCAACTGCACCACATACACACATACAATTATCTAACTTACTGTCTCTGTCTCGCTCGCTCCCTCTCTTTCTCTCTATTTCTCCTCATTTGCAGTCTGCTCATCTCACAGATTCGCATACGCGTGGGCGAGTATGATTTCTCACATGTGCAGGAGCAGCTGCCATACATTGAACGCGCCGTGTCGAAGAAGGTGGTGCATCCCAAATACAATTTCTTTACATACGAATACGATCTGGCACTGGTGAAGCTGGAGCAACCTCTAGAATTTGCGCCGCATGTCAGTCCCATTTGTTTGCCCGAAACGGAGAGTCTGCTGATTGGCATGAATGCCACGGTCACTGGCTGGGGTCGCCTCAGCGAGGGCGGCACACTGCCCTCGGTGCTGCAGGAGGTAAGTAAGCACGCAACACTCGCTGTCATATTTTCTCACTCACACTCAATGCAGGTTTCTGTGCCCATTGTGAGCAATGACAATTGCAAGTCTATGTTTCTACGAGCCGGTCGCCAGGAGTTTATACCGGACATTTTCCTATGCGCCGGCTATGAAACAGGCGGTCAGGACTCGTGCCAAGGCGACTCAGGTGGTCCACTACAGGTACTACTACACATACTTATCAATTATATAGCTGTGCTCAAATCCATTTCATAATTTCTGCAGGCCAAGTCACAGGATGGACGATTCTTTCTAGCCGGCATCATATCCTGGGGCATTGGCTGTGCCGAGGCCAATTTGCCCGGCGTTTGTACGCGCATCTCCAAATTTGTGCCCTGGATACTGGAGCATGTGAGATGATAAGCTATATCTGCATCGTCCATATGCTCAACCCTTGTTATTGTTTTAATTTATTAATTCTATGTTTTAAGTTTGTGTGATTTTAATTTAAACGAATCTTAAGCTTAGTTAGCTTCAATTTAACAATTTGCATTGACCGCACACACTTAGTCAAGCCCTCTAAGTTAGTCTAGCAAAAATTGTTTTTAAGTTGTCTAACATATAAATATATATAAAAAGTATAATTGCATCGATATTTGTATATATATATATAAAAGCAAAAATGAACAGAAAGGAAGAAAAGTCATTTTCGTTGTGAAGTTGTTGGTATTTTAGTCTAGGCATTAACAATTAATTAAATATATATAATTTATGAAACAAATTGCATACAAACATCATTATGTTGTATCTTGCCCAAAGAACAAGTTTATTTATAAAGATGAGCTCAAATAAATCTATTGAAAATATATTGTATAACTTTCAATTAAGGAATAACTCGAGAGTGTCTAAATATATATTCTTTAAAGGTGAAATAAATTGAAGAAAATTATTAATATACTATAAATAATCAAGAACCAGTGTTCCTTCAGCTTTATAGCGAAAAGTCATATTAATTTAGTGATCCATTAAACTGTTTTATTATCCACAGCCAATCATATGAGTCTGGTCTTGACTCATTACAGATCAATCTACCCTCGCTGCGACAATTACATTAATATACAGTATGTAGCATACAGCAATTATGCATTATCATTATTACAATCTTTAATTGAGATGCTTCTTCAGCTTCCCGCAATGCTCAAGTGCGTAAATGATGAACAACAATTGCAGCTAACGGCAGCCTCAATTTCGATCCATTCATTAACTTTTCAGTCATCGAGTGGGAATGATTGGCACAATCGCAACGAGTAAGAGTATGAGTACAAGAGCGAGCTCGATTGAAGTCTGTGCCAGCTCGCAGTACAGCAAAATTTCACTTTTTGGCCGGCGACATTTGACACCAGTTTGAATATTCAATCAATACTTAAACTACATGCGCGAAATTCTGTCCATGGTCCATTGAAAAAAAAAAACAAATTGATGCTCAACTTGAGTTTATTGCTGACGGCCGAGTTGGCCGACAAAATCAACAGAAAGTAAAGTATACTATTCACACGAAAATATGAAATATAGGGAACCTTGTTTTCAAAGACAATAGAATTTGACTTAGCAAATCAAAATATAGTTTTTGGTTCGTATTACTTGCATATCGCTTATTTTTACTTCTTCTTGGGGAAAATTGTGTCCTTAGCTTCGTCGATCAGATCTATTGCCAGGAACTTGAGATCCTTCAGAGTTGTGGGGAACTTCTGAATTGGCTCAATGGATATCTCCTCTCCAGGCTTCACACCCTTTATGAAGTTGTAAGCAACAGCAAATATCTTCCGTCCCTCGTACAAGACAATACGCACATTCTCCTCCGCCTGGCGTGGATAGCACAATGATGCTACGGTACCAGCGCCGATGGTGGTATACAGCACTTTCTTAAAGAAACCACCACGAGCAGCGAAAATGAAACCAGCCAGACCGCCCATCACAATGGCGCCACTACGATGCATTGAGTTCTGAGGCTCATTCAGAAAATCAATAGAACGTTGCGTGTGTTCCTTCGCCGTATTATAATACTCGCCAACAATGGCGGTCTGTTCGCCTACAGCCTTGTACCCTTTTCCCAGTTCCAGTCGAACAAAACGGACACCGTCTTCTAAAGTATTCTGCAAAGGCGAAGCTCGCAGATTCTGCTCTGGGTGTTTCTGTGGTTTACTACATTAAACAATTGATAATCTATCTCTTGAATAAATTCTCACTTGTTGCACTTACTCTGAAATGTGTATGGAACCATAGATAGGCAATTCACTGGGTTTACACACGAGCGATTCCGTATCTGATGGATTTTTCACGGGAGAAGTGATGACCGCGGCCGCAGCTAACATCGATGCTTTGCGCAGCATTGTTTTGTTTCTTTTAATCCTTAGTCTGATCCTAATGAAGCGTCTGCAAATTTAACGTTATTTGTAACATGAATTTTAGATTGTCAAAATTTGTTTGCTTTTTACCTTAGATTGTTTCATACATTGCGTAATGTGTCACCGGCACGTTGCGATTGCTTGACAACGACAGTATGTCGGTAAAAACACAGCTGGTCGATATTTTATTGCATCTGGCAACGCTGTTGTGGTCGGTTTTATTCAAAAGAAAATTATAAGGATAAGTGTAAAATTATGTTAAAAACTTGATCAAAATTTTCATTGCAATATACATTGCATAAGCATAGAGTATTGGTATTTAAGTATTGAAATCAGTCCAATAACTCAAATCACAGAGGCCGGTTAATTTTGCAGCATGTATTAAATGCTCACTGTTAATAACAGCTAATGTTACCGTAGTTCTTTTTACATGGCTGTTATCATTAGGGTGACCATCTCATGATGGAAGAAGCAGACATTGTTGTGCTACCTGGTCTCGCGACATGCGAGAAAAATAAAGTTGAGATAAGATGAAATAATTTCTACATGATCAGTTTTAAATTCGGAACCAAAGTCCAGGATGTTCTAAATGTGACGCCAATAGGTAAACGTTAGCACCATATCCATTAACAATTTGCAATATTTTTCATTGACGTTTCTTAACATAACGCTAACACTTGTGTTTGGTCGAAAAATGAAAAAAGCAAAGAGAGAAAAACAAAAATGATAAATAAACCACTGGAATTCGTAAACTGACAACTCATTGTTGTAAACTGTCAGCTATTATTAAACAATTAGTATAATACCATCCTCATTACTGCAGTGCAATCAGAGTGAAAGTCCAAACGTTAAGCGTGTGATAAAAATTTCCTTACCTATCTACCACCCACTGCTGCTGCTATTTGTAATGTTATCAGTGCTCGAGGCGCGCTAAAAAACGCCTGCAAGAACAACAATAGGAGGAACAGTGACTACTTAGAAAATTCCGAAGGACATTCGAAGTAAATAGTAGCAGAAAAGAATATAAATAAATTAGATTATCTATTAATTGTAATGTTTTCTATTATTTATGCAGTTGAAGTTGCAACAGTGGGGGCAACGGACAGCGGAAGCGTCGAACGTGCACACAATTCCAAAAAGCAATTAATGGGGGCCATGAACCAAAAAGAACAACTGACAAATAGCAGCAACAACAACACGCACAACTGAGTAACGGGTCGAAAACCGTTAAAAAATTAAAAAATAATAATAGAATTTAATTTTACCAACTGAGCAATAAAAACTAGTCATAATTCATATGGAAGCGACCGCAAGTTCCAAGTTTAGGTAAGTGCTCAAAATAAAGCTCATTTAAATAGGCCCGTATAATAGTTATTGTTTTAAGCAAACGAAGTGCTTAGTAATGAAATGTTTTCAAATGTATTTTAGCGATGTGGACGAGTATGGTTTTAAGCGTGGCGATAAGTTCGACTACAAGTTCTATGGGAAGTTTATGGATGGTTACTTAAAGATATTGACGCGCCGGCGCATTAAATGGGAGGGCTTACTCGAACAGAATCCAGATCTCACGCTGATCAGTCCGAAGCTAAAGCGATATATACGCAAGGGCATACCAGGTCCATATCGTGCGGATGTTTGGATGAAAATCAGTGGAGCCGATGAGGCAAAGCAACGAAATCCCGACCTTTATCGTAGTTTATTAAATATCCAACATTTCAACAAGGAAATCTGCGATTCCATATCAATCGATCTACCTCGAACGTTTCCCGACAATATCCACTTCGATGCCAAGAAGGAACGCCTCTTCAACATACTCTGCGCGTATGCGCATCATAATCGTGATGTTGGATACTGCCAGGGTCTCAACTATATAGCCGGCCTGCTGCTTATTGTCACTGATGACGAGGAGAAATCTTTTTGGCTATTGAAGCATATCGTTGAGAATATTGTGCCACAGTATCATTCTCATAACATGGCCAATCTGTTGCGTGACTTGGCTGTGTTCAGGGAGCTGGTCATAAGGCGTGTGCCGGCTGTTAACCGACACGTGGAAGACATGAGTAAGTAAAGGCATTCTCTTAAGAAGCAATGCTATATGAATATTTTCTAAATTTTCATTTTATTGATCAGATTTGCCCTATGCGGTGATAGCAAGCAAATGGTTCATTTGCATATTTGCCGAAGTTTTGCCTGTGGAAACTGTGCTGCGAATATGGGATTGTGTTTTCGCTGAAGGTTATAAGGCAAGTCCTAGCATATGAACTATAATAATGTATATTAATTGGTTATATATTTGTAGATTGTATTTCGCGCAGCTCTGGCCATGTTCATTACACATAAGAACGATATACTGGGCTGTGACGATATTGCGGCACTGGCAACTTTATTTCGCGACCATATGATACAGGATAGCATAGTTACTGACTGCCATAGCTTTGTAGAAGCCATGTTTTCCTTGCGTTTGAAACGCAACGAGCTTGAGAGCTTACGCAAAGTCGCCGTGCTGAATGGAAACTAAGCAGTAAATCAAAGTAGAAAAAAAAACCGAAAAAAGACCATCATCAAAAACTAATATGAAAACAAAAGAAAGCAATCGTTAAATTCAATTATTAGAGATGTAGCTTAAATGTGTCCAATCAATATATATATATATATATATATATATATATATATATATATATACATATATATAGTACTTATATGTTATATTTTACGTGTGTATTTGTGCATAGCCTCATGTAGCCAATGTATTTTGAGTATTATTCGAACAAAACTAAATATGAAACCAAAGTCAAATTCCAATTCGATAAACAAGCAAATTTAACAATATTAACACATATGTACAATATATATGCATGTACATATGTGGGTATGCGTTAACAGTAGTCGTAGTTGTTGCCAAAAAGTAATCAGAATAATACATAGACATAAAGTATAACGATCGCCTAAGTACGCCACATACAAGTATTTGTCATGTATGTCTGTAAATTTAAAATAGTTTATTTTTTGGTGTGCTTAATTTCCTTAATAAAAAATATTTATTTTGTAGCATATATAAGTATATACTTTAGATAACGCTGTGTTTGTAGATTTCTAGATTAGTTGATTGCTATGTACAAACTAACAAATACAAAGAACTCACTATAACTATTTACTATGACATTTGTATTTACATTTTGTCAATGAACACGTTGCAATACTCACTGTCTACACTGATACTATATTTATATGTATATCCTGAAATATAATTTGAGGAATTGATTTGTTAAAACATGCCTTTTAGGCCAAACTTTATGAACCAGCGAACAAATGTAAACTTTAAATGTTATAAAGTGTCGTTTGATTAGTGCAACTAATATGCTTTTTAAATAAATATTACTGCTAATTGTTAGATAATGAGATCGTTTTTTATTAGTATATCAGGGAAGACATATTTTAGATGTTTTGGTTACTATGCGTTTCTATAATGTATAGCATACTTTTCGGAATCAAATATCTCCGCACAAATCCAATGGGATTTTTAATTAATTAATTGCTTTTGACTGCTAATGTATGATATTAACTCTGGTTTAGATTGAATAATTATTCCATTTATCATTTTTAAGGGAGTAAAAACCCACTAAACTAACTTTCTATTCGATTGATAATGGGAATATTTATAATATTCCTTGAATAACAGTATTTGTCGGATTAACACGTAACGTATTCGTTCTAATGAAACGTAATAATCTTATGGCATGCCACAATGGGCACCACACATTGGCTCCGAAGACAATGCTAGCGATGTGAGGAGTGTGCGTCGCCCTGGGTGCACGCCCAAATTCTCCCAATTGATCCAGGAGAGGCGTGCTGTTAGATCGCTTGTATTCCAATTGGCTCGGTCGGCTTTGATCTCGCCACGTAGACACTTCTCCACATAGGTGAGTGGATCGTAGTCCGTTTGGAGCACCTCACGCAGAAGTGATATGTAGGCGATGGCCAGGCGCAGAGTATCGATTTTGCTTAGACGCTTTTCATATGGAAATGTGGGTACATGGACCCGTAACTCATCAAACGCCGAATTGATACTACTGCAGAGCGCAAGATAGAAAGAAAGAGGGAAAGAAAGAAAGAAGTGCACATTAGTGGAATGTTGCAGAGAATGCAGGGCATAGCTAAGTGTGCAATGGAGAAGACCATTTAGTGTACCCAGTTGGTGCGGACCTCTGGATGCGTTTCCTTTCCCGCACATTTGCCTGTTGTCGTTGAATTTTGTAACTGGACGCAGCCGCTGCACCATAGCTGCCACTCGAGGGCCCTCCTGCCGAGCTAGGGCCTGGACCACCTCCCCCTCCACCCCCACCGCCGACGCTACTAGTCGCCGTTGGACTATTGCACATCATGGGTGTGGCATTATTAGAATTAAGAGGCACCAGATTATTGGAGCTTGTAGATGAGTCGAGCATGTTTTCTAAGATCAAAAATGAAAAATTGGAGAATTGTTAATTACACTGCACAACAACGATTTTGACATGAATGACTAAATCTAATATAATCTAAATCAACAGAAATGTCCGTTCGGAATCTTATACGAAAGGACTTCTCTGTAGATTTTGAATCTCCAAACGATGTTTCATCGATCTCATCATAATTTATATATTAGTTATTTGAATTTGAGAATATGTCATATATTTGTAAATCTTGAAAGAACTGAGAATCAATAAAAAATCATTTTGAAATCACATAGGAAAATTGTGGTTTTCTTGAACAGTGTCATACATGGGTTTTCCTGAATGATAATTCGTAATTATGGATTATGGATCATATAACTTCCATAGCAAACAATGCAAAACGTACTTAAAAATTAAAATAAGATTAATACTGAATTACTATACATACCATTGCCCTGGTGTAAGTAATGTTGCTGGATATGCCTTAAATTATTGGAGTTAAGACGTAAGCCGGAGCCGCCGGTCGAGATGCCCCCACTAGCTGCACCGACACCACTCTGATGTTGACCCGCATAGATGCAAGAGGGCAGTTCGTTGATTAAATCATCGTCGAAATTGTGATATGGTAAATGGCTGTAGGTGAAATTAATGATTTTAAAATATAATCCAATTGCCGACGGAAAACATGGGTACAAATTTCTTGCGATAAATGTAAGCTAATTTATTTTATAATTTTAGTGTTGTAGGTATTTCCTAAGAATAAATGAATTATATGTTCACTTTTTATGATTTCACAGCTTCTCACCTTATAGGCGGAGATGAGGATGAATCTGGCAACTGATTCCGCGACATTTTCGTTAAGTTTCTTAATTTAAATTATTTTATTTGTAAAGTTTTTTATTTTCACTTTAAAATCTTTCCATAAATAGGCTAGCGATGTCTAATAAGTTTAAATATGTAATGAGAACATCTCTTGGGAATTCAGAGCCTTTTATAGTGCCGCAGATCCAATTGGAAATGGCACAGCTCTGCTACTAGGTCTGTGTGCGTGTTTGTATTCTTCAACCCCTAAATACACTGGCAACTATTCGCCTGGATTCTGAGAGGCGGAGCTTGTCAAGTACTACAGGGTGTTTTCGCACAAGGCAGTTGCCTGGCGGAAGCTGTGAGAAAATAACAAGGCATATTTGTTCAATGAGATCTATGATTGATATTATATATACATATATATATATATATATATATATATATATATATATATATATAAATCAACATATGTATATAAATTTGTTTCTTATATATTTCAATATCTGAAATCTATTTATTAATGAGAAAGTTGAAAAGATTTTGGATATTTGTAAAAAATTAGTGCAAATTTAAAAACCAAATCGGTTTAAAAAACTGTCACTGAAAGGGTAATATACGCTATATATATGTATGTATTTGTATTTTTTCATTTTTCTTATGTAGCGCATATTGTGGTCTTTATAGCTGATAGCAACATTATCATTGGTTTTTTTTGTATACTTCACCTGTTTTTGACATTTTGCCATTATTGTGCTCACAGCAGGCTGCCGCCATTTTTGCTTTGTAGCCAGCGTAGGTAGCAGATGCCCAGAAGCAGAGAGCCGTCAATGGAGTAATCTCCTTCTCTTAATTTAGCTCATAAGCAATGTAAACTTGCTGCCATATGTGAAGCAAAGTCCTCTGCTGGGCTGTTAGTAATGTGAGATCAACATGATGGCGCCTCGTTCTGGAACGCTGTTCGGAACTCAACCTGTTGATATTTATGCTTCGAGGGTTACTCGATACTGTGAGATTCCCACGAGATGACAAATTGTGCGAGAATTTACAACAATTAGATCACATCGGATAGCAGTCTGTTACAGTTTACAGATCATTAAATGAGTGCCGCTCCATCTAAGTGCAGATATAGCGAGACTTATGCATCTATGTATCTGTACATGTATTGACGAGAGCACCACTTGAAACCGCAGACAGTCAGAGCAATTGTTGAAATTGAATTATGTTTATTTGATGTTTTGGTTTACGCACAAATTAGCTACGTCAGAGCTGTCGCCCCGCCCAGGCAGGCGACCAGGTCACGTGCGTTAACCCCGAGGCGCGAAAAACCAGCGCGAGGCAAAGTCGAACAATGCACAAACAATATGTCAGGGCGGATGCGGATGCGCAAACCTTTTCATTACCAGTCAAATTGGTTTGGCACACACGCGCCGGCGCACACTCCGCGGCACACAAACCTGATGACAGTAATCAGTTTTGATGCAGGGTAAGTGTCCTGGATACCGGTGCAGGCCCAAAGCTGACATCCTTAAGTGAAATCTTGTTACAAACCAATGTAAACACGATTGTTAATTTAACTTTGGCAATCGCTCTAGCTACCCTCGACTGAATATCGTTCACCTAATATTGTTGTTGTTGTTCTCGACGTCGTTGTTGTTGTGCGCCGGATATGTCATTGGACCACAATTAAATTATCGCATTTCAAACGAGTGCGTCCAAGCAAGGCGATTATCGCCAATGCACACTTCCACTTGGACTTGACCCGACTGTGGGAAAGAACGGAAATAAATAATAAACTCTTATTTGATTTGATTTGCATATTATCGTACTTGTCACCCGTCATACCAAAAATTAGCCATATACATATTAAATAATTTATAAAAGGATTAAAAAGGGATTTCTATTTGAATAAGTAAATTAAAAAAAGTTCATATAAATTTGTCAAAAAATAACATTAAACTAATTGAAACGATAGACGAGTAAACTTTATATTAAGTGAACTAGTTTTTAAAATTGTTTTTCATATTTAACAAATTAATTTTTACGTGTAAATCCGATTGATTAACTGTTTTGAATTTTATATTTATTAAAAACTGGTATATGATATTTATTAGTAAAATATGATTTTTGCATTGGCATTGAATTGGCTTTTTATGAATTTCATTTAAAAAGAAGAAAGGCTTACATTCTGTGAAAATTATTTATCAACAATGCATGAAGATTATTAGAATTGAATTATTGTAGTAGGAATCTAGCAAACCTGATGCTCGCAGAGACTCTCTTACATAATTTACTCTTTTAAACATTGTTCTTCTGAGCTTTCCTCTCAGTTCTCACCTAAATCATATGTGTATGTCTTTAAATCATAAATCAGTATGCCTTCGAATAAAAAATATAATAATATTGGATGTTTATAGGCATTCCTGGCAATTATTTTAGCTAAAACTTAATCACAATCTTAGACTATATTATTTACTTAAAATAACAAGTGGATTTTATATAAGAAAAAATTATGGAAATGTACTTAACTAAACTTAACTAAAGTTATTTTTGTGTGATTTATCTCTTAAAAACTATTCCTCAAGATTAGTGAATCTCCAAGGCAGTACATAATAGTTAATATTCAATCCAGTTCCTTCGAGTCACGTTCACATTATTTCATTTAAGGGTTGGGTCAAAAACAGATTGATAGTGTCAAAAGGTTTTTCTGGTGCACTCAACTGGAGCAGCACCCATCAAACACACTCTCATTCACACACACTCCACAGCATCCCTAACTGTTGTTCTCCTGGCTTTCGACTGGCTGGCTGGATCAAGGACTTGCGTCTGGAACATATCGATTAGCGTTTTGCATCCACACCAGAACAAGGCCAGAAAAAATTTGTCTGTGAATTTATACGCTGCCACACGACCAGCAAAGAGCGAATATTTCTCCGCAGGATAATCCCACCCCACCCCCTGCACTAAGGACTACGGACTGACCCCTCCCTCAACCGTCAACCACAATTCGTTGTGGCTGCTTGAACTGCTTGAAGCAATTGTCTGCGAAATTGTTTGTTTATTTTGATGTTGTTTAATGCGTGCTAAATTTCTGCCCTATTATGCGGTTATGGTTGAGCAATATCCTGGGAAAAGTAAACAGCGTCATGGCCTCCGGTGCGAGGTGAATTCCATCGAGGATATTTCAAAAGCTTTATCAGTCGTGCTTTTTGGTTTGAAACCCATCTAAGTTTAGCTTTTGGGCTTAAGTCTCGTGCGGCGTAACTTCAAGAGCTTATTTACTTCTGCTTGATTTTTTTGCAATCTAATCTACTGCATTTTAATAAAGTAATGGCCAAGAGCAAGCACACAAATATTACATTTATCAATTTAATAAGATTCGATAATATAATTAATCTTATAAATTATAGCTACGAAATATATATTAATATAATAAATAAGATTATGAAAGTTCCTCAACGTGCTATCAATGGATTCCTTTATATTATCATATTATATTTATTTACTTTTATTTTTTATTTATATATGAGTCCATTTACCTTATTACAGGTGAACTTTGAATCTTAATTGAAAATTCATTTTATAGTATTATGATGCTATTATTATTATGTCCATAATATATATGATTAAGGCAGAAATGAAATAATGAAGAAACATTGAACTTCAACAAAGGTTTGCCTCTTCTGAATTTTCTATTTTTTTATTTCATTTATTTTATATTTTTATTTGAAGAGTGCTTGAATATTAAGCTTGAAATTGTTCAGTAATTGCGTAGACAATTACCTCATCTTAAACTTTGCCCAACTTAATTTTGAAATTCGCAGACAACTCATGAGTTATTTGGATATGTGGTTAGTAGCCACTTACTAAACATGTGCGAGTATTATATTATGCCATCCACATTGTATTAGCTTAACAAAAACGTCGGGGGTTATTTTAGTTCAACTCGATGTCTGGTGATGTTATTCAGCTGTCAATTAAATTGGTAACCGTGTTTCGCAGCAAGTGCTTTGTTTTGATTTTCTCCGATAAGCAAATGCGAGCCGCTTTAAATATATTCAATGAACGTGTAAATACATTTTAATGCGCCACTCCCACAACAGCAGCTCCCATCCCATGCCATCCCATTCGATTTCGCTTCGAAGAGCTCTTGCCACTGCCCACTCGCAATTATAATATCAGACCAAAACAAACACAACAAAAACCGGCAGCTACATAGCGAATTTATCATTATATTTTTTTTACCTTTTTTGTTTTCTTTTTGGGCTACTCGATTCAGCTGTGCGGCTCAATGGCCAGAGACGGGACTGAATGGAGGTGAAGAGAAGAGAAGCAACTTTAAGGCTGTCCAGAGCAGCGTTTAGTAAGTCAGTTGGCCGCTGTCCGTTGCACAGTTCGCACGTTGCGCTAAAATAAAAAACAACTACAACGGCGACAATTCTCGTAAATAAATGGCTAAAAATATTCAAACAGTAACAGACCAAAAAATAATAAAAAAAAATAAGTACAAGCAACGCCCCAATCGATTCAGTTTGCAAAAACTAATAAAGTAAGTCCCAACAAATGCCAACACGTTTGCCCAATTTGGAATATGCAGTGCGGGTAATTGAAACGTGATATATGTGGGATAAGTGCGCAATCCTAACTGCAGCAACTTTTAGCCAAGTGCTTCCGATTAGGTGTCGTGACGTATGTGTATGTGGAGGGCTTTAAATATAGAGCAACACACTAGTCGCCTAGTTGCCAGTAGCTAGCAAGTCGCATGGTCAAGTGCCGGTGATAAGCGTGCCCGCTGCCGATAAGACGGGGGCGCCAAGTCGTAAAAACAAATTTAAATCAAAGCTCACATTTAGCATTTTGCGTATAATATAAACAATAACAATTAGTTAAGGTCCATATACATGTTGAATTCTACACAACAAAAGAACGAAAAACAATAACAAAGCGCGCTCAAAATGCCAAAACGTCAAAGCGCTGCTAGCTTAACCCATGACATCGCAGCTGGCATGGAACGGGAACTTGAACTAGAATTGGAACTGGAGCTGGAGCGGCCGCTGCTGTCGTCGAAGGAGCATGCCAAAAGTGAGTACCACACACGCGCCATTACCTAGGCACTGGGCTATTAAACCAGTTAAGTTGGTCAAGCAAAACAAACTGGCACACACCCAAAGACACATACACACTCGCACACACTGGTCTTAGCCATAAATCAGTGACATTTGCACACTGCAAGCGGAGCCCGCTTATGAAGCTTAACTGTGCTGCAAGCGGTTCGCTTTTTGTTCTAATCAAATGCGAATACGAAATATTTGCCATTTAATTTATGAAAATCGAGTAGCGCCCAGAAATCAAATTAGCATATGCACACGCGCACACACACCCATCCATACGTATAGCGCCATGCAGAATCTTAATCAATGCCTCATCTCGAGCTGCGCATTCATTTACATTAACAAAAAGCAGCGAAAAGAATTGTTATTTATTTAAGTGTTAATCATTAATAAGCACAAAGCGGCTCGCATTCGATCTGCAAAAACAATATCAAAGTGTATTCAATGATAATACAAATACGCGCCAAAGGCAAAATCAGATTTTATCGCATGCAACTTTTTCTAGCATGCGAGAAATTTTGCGGACAAACTTAGATAAAATATAAGTTGTAATTTTTAGATAGTAATTATAACTATTAGATATTCAAAAATGAATCACATTTATTTTGAATACACTCACTTTGTCTGATAAGAATGTACAACATTAAAATTTATGTATAATTCTGCACGTAATACATGTTTTGATAAATATTTTTTTATGTCGCCGTCGTTTCCGTGCGCACAACTAAATGTTGTATAAATAACAATTACTTGCCGATCAGCGGATCAAAGAATATTTTGGTATTTAACACATATTCGAATTTAATGAACATTCTGGCTTTTTTTGTTGACCAACTTAATATATATTATTAACATTTGAAACTCGCTTATGAGCCATTATCACAATTGAATATTCGTCATTCAGATGTCTTACTCAATTAGCGACACTCAAAGCTAAACACAGTCTCCCCTTTGTTCGTGGATTGCACGAATAACAATAAATAAATAAAAGCGCTTCTTACAAAGTTGTCACTGTTTTGTTTCGTGTAAATATTAGTTCAACAGTATAAGATATAAGGCCTATTTAACAAACGTACTTACGACACTGAGAAAATGAGTCTGCCATAAATAATTGCAAATGCTCATGTATATATATAATGATGAATCTTAGAAAAAGACTATTTTTCTTAATGTTAAGGACATCAAAATTAGCTCTATAAACAACATAATGTCTATATAAATTTATTATTTTTGACCTTTGCTACTTTGTGCGTATAAAGTGCCTGACATACATAAAGAATGACCCTTATTACTCAGCTGAATGTAATAAAGTTTAATATGTTTAATCACGTTTATGTATTTATATTTCTGTGTTTCTCTTTGCTTCCGCCTTTGCCATAGTTTTAACATAACACATGAAAATTCCCATTAAGCAATCATCATACTCATCATCAGCAATACTCACCCAAAAAAAAAAACAGACCCACAACAAATAACAATAACAAAAATGTCAACAAATTGTCAGCATTTTTTTGATGATCTCTATCAAGCAAATTGTCACTGAGTGTTGTCGCCCAGCGATCGGTGCTGGCCACGTGCCGGCTAATGCCAAATAGACTGTAACTATAATTATAGAGAGAGAGAGACCCATAGCATTGACTATTCTAAATTTCAACTACACACATCTGCGTCGACATCTGTTGCTGAGCTGCCAGCTTCAGCTACTAACTAGATGCGACTTTGAGGCGGAACGATTTACTCTTATGAATATTGATTTATTTTTAGTGCATAATATATTAAATAAAAGCATGTGCTCTTGACAACTGACTAGAGACCCTTTCTATTCAACAAAAGTAAAAACTTGTTGCGCTTTGTTTAGCTTTGTGTAAATAGCAAGGTAATAGCTTGATAGGACCTTCAAGAGTTCTTACTACTTTTGTTTAATAAATAGTGAACTACAATTTCTTTAACTCATATACGATTTTTTTAAAACAAAAATAATTGCTATATTTGAATTATATCTCAAACTTGTATTTGGTTTTCTATATACAGCTGTCTTCAAAGTACTTAGTTGAAAACTGATATTCATATTTTTAATTAAAATTTGTTAAAGCATAATTTTTCATAAAATAAATATGAAAACTAGCATACATGAGTAAATCTAACACTAAAGCTAGCGGGCTGTAAGCTAACTGCAGGGTATAGGTTTTTTGAGTAAAACGATGCCGGCGATTAAGTAACAACAGCAACAGTTTTTCGCGCCAAGCGAAGCGAGCTAAGAGAGAGCAGAATCGAAGAGAACGAAAAATGAAGAGAGAGCCCGCAACTGGTGCAGTAACAGCAGCAGCAGCTGTTAGACAGAACGTCGACGTCGACGTCGACCGCCAAAGAATGGTCTTAGCGCAGCATCAGCCACCCCACAGCAGCCCCCACAGCAATTGGCGCTTTCGCTATCGACGGCGTTAACGTAGCCACCAGCGCTGCTGGCGCTGCACAGTGGGCCAAATACATATTCGCACTATAAAAATATAAAATAATATAAAGAAGGCAAAAATAAATTTTGATGTTTAGTAAATAAATTGATTTATAATTTCTTATATTGAAAGTGATGCTAAGATGATTTCTTTAATGTGGTATAAAATACACAACTATTTTCATCTAAAGAAATAATAAATCAATATTTGGAATTATGAGAAATAGTATTCAATTAACAAAGCTCTATAAATATCTCGTTATGAAAAGAAATTAAAGCATTCTAAATATTAGCTTAACTTGGCGAAAACGGAAATTCGATTTCAACTGACAGAAGTGGACGATGGACCACAGTACTTAGTCGTTGCGTGCAGGAGCAAAAGTTATAAAAGTTCTTCGCAATTCGCACGAGCGCTCAGTTGCTCTCGGTCATTCGTTGTGGTTGTGTGAACTTGTGCCGCAGCATCATCAGCAGCAGCAACAGCAGCAACAGCAACGACAACGACAACGACAAGCACAACAGTAGCGGACAGAGACGACATTGTCGCCATCGTTGTCGCCATCGCCATCGACATCGCCATAGAGAATTAGAATCATAAGAAGCAACAGCAGGAAGAGTTTTTTCGTGTGAGCAGCCAAAGACAAAACGTTTTGTGGGTGCGTGAGTGCGCATAGTATAAAATTAAATAAATAAATTAAACAACAGCGGCAACAGCAAAAGCGACAATAACAACAACAAATGCGAGCTAGGCAACAATATTGTTATATGCATATTCACCCAGACATACATATACAGATATGTGCCAATATAGAAATACTTATACTTATAGTATTTGTTGTTTTTATTATAAGTAATATACAGAAGGCGACCCGGTAATGTTTGGACAACTATGACGAGACTTGCTGTTAAATAGAGCATAGTAGACAGCCCACACATTCAGCAACAATATCAACAACAGCATCAATAATAATATAAGCACTTTGTTTTTGGTCAAGAGCCATAAGTTAATAATTTTATATATATATATATATATATATTTATTCCCCCCATTACTTTATTACTAGCAAAAAGTAATTGTTTAAGTCTTAAATTGCTTGTTGTTGATAATTTTATTTTATTGTTGTCTCGCTTGCATTTGTTTTCCAACGTGCAATTTGCTGTCGTTTAAGCGAAGCGCGCGCAAATATTTCGTTTGTCACACCACGCGGCGTATGAGTAACAAATACGAAATTGATTCTCTCGCGCCCGCTCTCAAGCATTCATTAACAAAATCCGCAATTACAAATTACAGTTGTATTTACGATTCAAGAACATTGCGACTGCAACACGCAACACGCAGCGCACATAGAACTCAACAAAAAATAAATAACAACAATTTTGTCTCGGACTACGCCTCGTATGCGTAATGTTATAAACGATGCAAAACGCTTAAGTCGTGAAAGGCTCATTATACAGCAAGAACAACAAGAACGATACGGGACAGTTGGTTCTGTGTCAGTTTCCGTTTAGTGCGCTTTTAAAAATTGATCAAAAACGCAGCGAGCAGTGAAACGCGACAAGGCGGGCAACGGATTTCCGCGCCAAGGCATCGAAACAACAGCAGTAGGAAGCAGGGTAAGGAAATCAGGCAGGCAGAAGCAGTAGCGCAGCATCATTGTAGTACCAACTGTGCAGCAGAACGCGTTTCTGGATTAGCCCAAGTCTAGGAGCAACAACAGCAAGAGCAATAAGGTAAGCTCATTACGAGACACTGCCAACATCTCCATGTTGACAACAGCAACAGCAACAGCAACAGCAACGGCAGCAGCAGCAAACAGCATTGTGTCCTGTCGCTGTCCTGCCCCTTAGCCTTAGAAGGGCTCCTGATGCTTGCATGGCCCGCGGATATACCGCCAGCGATGTTTGCTTTGCTTTTGTTTATTTATTTGCTGTTTGTCTGTTTGTCTGTCCGTCTGTTTTTCTATTTTATTTGGTCTCTTTCTGCGTGTGTGTGTGTGTGCATTAGAGCAAATAGCGCCAGCAAAAATAACAACAGGAACAACAATAAGGATAACAACGACAACAAATAACAACAATGACTTTATCTTGACAGATTGCAGAGCAGCTGCCTGAACTCGTGTCCACATATATACAAACATTTTTGTATATTTTCTGTATATATCATATATACACTTTGAATGCCACATACAAATAAAAAATGTTACGGCTACTTGCAATCGCAAGTCTCATAAATGGATCCTCTGGAACTATTTGATTTATCCACCTTTGTCTCTACTATTATAACCGAATTGTATCAAAGTATATTGAAATATTTCAACAAAACTATGATATGTATATATATATATATATACGATATTCTGCTTCATCATTTGTTATCATTGAAGTATCTAGTCATTTTTATTGTATCGCGATGATAAGACCTCTTCGAAAATAAGCAAAGTGGTCCAATAATACGTCGGCACTCTTTACGTGTTCTTTAATGGTATTAAGCAAAAGAATTATAAAAATTAGAATATAAA